GAGAATCCTGTTTTATGGGATTAACAAACATATGAGAAAAACTGGAAGTTAAAAATGGTCCAGTCTTCAAGGCCATAGGGTTAAAATGGCAACAAGAGATGAGGATGGAAGTCAGCTGAGCTTTCAAAGATTGTATTGTCAGCAGAGATACCAAGAAGCCAGAGCCAAGAAAAACAAGATCATTAAAATCAAACCCACTGAGGCAGGGGACTGACTTGCCTTGCTTTACAATCCAGTTAGGAACTTTCCCAGATAAGGAATAAATTCCGGGTGGAAAGGGGTAAATTAATGCATAGAACAGTCGAAAAAGTAACCTGTAGTTACCTCTATCACCACAGAAAAGTCACACCCTGAGATGAAGACAAGAAGGTAGGAAGACCTGCATCACAGGAAAAGGCAGGATACAGAAAAGTGCAGATGAAATGAAAGCTCTCTCTGTGTGTGATGACTTTGAGACCAGGTCCCTGCCCACCAGAGGGGTGCTGTAAAAGCTAGGCACCCTCCCACTGTTCTATCAGCCTGAGATTTCTGGAACCTTCATGCTGTCCTCCTTGTGAAAAGCCTCGCCCCTCCGCAAAGGGCTGGAGTCTTCTGACAGCAAGCACAAGAACCCATGCTGTGGGACCAGTGACCAGTGCCTTGTGCATCCTTCCCATCTGAATGGGAATCGTTACCTTGCTCTGTAGGGACAAAAGCTTTTAGCGTGTGTAGGTTGTCTGACAGCAAGGGGCCAACAGAGGACCTCACAGAACGGTGAGGAGCAAATGGAGTAAAAGCAGCCACTGCCGTACACTTAAGCCTACGCCCTTGTGAGCATGTGTCTTCTGTGCTGGGAAGGTGAGGCATGAATACTTGGTGTGCAGCTGAAGTTGTTCACGTGGCAGACACTATCCCCCAAGATGTCCTTTTCTTTCCAATTTTTTGGCTATACACTTGGCCATGGAGAACAAGGACATTCACAAGCATCTTTTCACTCCATGTATTCATATGATGGCAGTCTGCAACAGATGTGTCATGTGGCAATTTAAGACTTGCTTCACATCCTTTACCTTTCGGCTTGTTTACTCCTGCACAGTATCTGGATGGCATGGCTGGGGCTGAAGCAGCCACTTTAGATCAGGAAGTGACTTTGAAAATGAAAGCTGTACAGGATAAAGCAGGATAGTAACTTAGGTTTCTGGCCATTTTCAGGAGAATAATGCTTACATCAGCTCCAGACAGCATTCTATGATGATTTTACATGAGAAATAAATGCCTTATCTTGTTTTGGCTGTTATTTGGGGGGTTTGTTGCTTGCTGCTAACTCTAATTAGGGAAGTTCAGGGCAGCAGTTAACCCAGTGCATAGGTATGATTTACAGACCTCTGAATCTTTAGAGAGTTTGTGAGGTCAAAATATTTTCATAACAGGTTCAGGGATTTAGCTCAGTGGTTCTGCCACCTGCTTCACAGGCACAAGGTCCTCAGTTTGATCCCTGGTACCAGAAAAAAAAGAAAAAAAATATTTTCATAATAAGGCATCATTACCTTTTTCACTAGTGAAATATCCACTGATGGTACAAAAGCAATGACATAATTCTAGGTAGGGTGGCACATGTCAGCTCCTCAGGACACTCAGGTGGGAGAAACAAACGAGCCCAAGAGTTGGGGTAGAGGGGCAGGAGACAGAGACAGACAGAGACAAAGACATGCACTACCAACTTAGAATCAACCAAGACACTAGCAGTCACTGTACTCTCCACCGCCATATGCTTGCAGTTAGGAACACTGGCTGGTTTCAGTCAAGGTTTTCATGAGGCAGTAAGGATTGTTTATTGTAAATCTCAACTCTTCTCCACATGAAGAAATGGAAAGTGTGCACCAAGAACTCTGGGGACAAAATATATAATGGCCATCATAAGAAAAAGCTCTTGTGAGACTGCTGTGTAATTAACCAGGCAATTCAAATGCGGGTATCTGTAGACACACTTCAAACGCGAACAAAGTGAACTGTCACTGCATAGAAAAGAGCATCGTTGCTTTCAAGTGAAAATCAGAACTTTGGAAACTTTATCTGCCATCACAACTTGACAATATCTCAATATTTAAAGGGCTTATTCAGAAAAGATTGCTGATTATATTAAATGTGATTTTTAAAATGTATATGTGAAGTATATTAACATTTGCAAGATCCACATAACTCAATAAATTGGTAGTTTCCAAATATTGAGGGCATGCACTATAAAATTATGCAAGGGGGAAAGTGACAAAGTACAAAACAATGGATGTTAATAATTCAATGCAAGATTTCACAGATAGGGATTTATAATGCTACACTGTGACTAACATTTCAGAAACTATTCCTTGGTCAGCGTGGGTACAGAAAACCAGTCATTGAAAAGATCTTAAAATATTCCTCCCTTTTACAAATACATGTATGTAAGAGGCTAAATTATCATTTACTCCAAACAAAGCCACATATCAAACAGATATAATGCAAGAGAATCCAACTGTCTTGTATTAAAGCCAGACATTAAAAAGACATCTACAAACCAATGTTAAGATAGCACGTCTCATTATTTTGAGAAATAATTTTCATAAAATATTATGTTACTATGAAACTGGTTTGTTTATTAATTAATTAATTTATTTATTTATTTATGTATTTATTTTTGGTACCAGGGATTGGACTCCAGTCCTTGCACTTACAAGGCAGGCCACTGAACCGTTGAGCTAAATCCCCAGCCCTAAACTGGTTTATTTTTAAATGAATGAATTTGTATAATTTGTCAGTCTTAATTTCTAATACAGTAAACACTTATATAACCCTCAGATACTAAAGCTCTTTGGGGTCCTTAGTATTTTTTTGCAGAAATGTGGTTTTAAAGACAGAAAGTTTTAAAAATCTTTGAGTTATGATACTGAATTAAACAATCACAAAGCTTTTCTCCTGAGATAAAAGGACAGCAGTAAAATCACCTTAAGGCCAGAGTTGGGTAAATAACACAATGGTAAGAAAAAGAGAGGAGAGGCAGATAGAATCCAAAAATTGCAGATCAATATATGTACTGTTAACCCTCGGAGGAAAAGTTAGAACCAATTAAACAGACTTTGATTAAACAAAGTAAAGTCATAGCCACTAGTTCCCAGCACAAGTTTACTAAGACTCAACCATGTAGAACCAAGCTATATCTGTTTCCTTTGTGACCAGTTTTAAAGGAAAGGAATGTAGGTGCACCTTTATTTCTAATTAAGCACTGATTGTTATAAAACAATGGTTGTGAAAACTGGCAGTAAATTTAAAGAATCTGCTTGAAGCAAAATGTGATAAGGTTCAAGTGCTACAGGATGTGACAGAGGAAGTAATATTTTAGTGCTGATACAGATGGGCTTTGAAGGTCCTCAGAATTCAAATCTCTAGCAAGAAGTCAGTGATGTGGGTAGCAACAAACACTCAGTGAACCTGTAACTATGGAACACCTAGTATGTGCCAGGCACCGCAGGCACATGAAACCCTCAGAAGTGAGAAACACAAGAGCTCTCATTCTCTGTTGAGCTGACTGTTAAGACACAGTGAGATGTTTTTCTTCCAATGAAAGGTAAACTCTGCCTGGGTTAAGGTGGATGAAAGAACAGTCAGAGCTGTTAACCATAAAAGAATGAACTGAATTAATTTAGGGTTTCCTCCTCCAAAGTAAGGGTGACAAAGGAGAAAATTCTTGATGCATGTGCCTGTAAAGTAACAGCATGGGACACCAAACACATTCTAAAAGCTACTTCCGTCACTCCGGGATTGAAGAAAAGACAGGGACAAGCGAAGAACTGACATGCTCTAGAGAATGGTGGTACTGATCAGGTTGGCGTGCCAGAAGGATAAAACCTCAATTCTAATTATCTATTAAAATAAAAACCACCCCACTTATGTATAACATCTACGTACATGCTTTAAAAGCATTATGCAAAACAAGGCTTTCACACTGGCGGCCAACACGAGTCTTCAATGCATTTCACAGTTCTCAGAGATGTCTGCTTTATCCTGTTTTGAGGGATTCCCCTCGTTGCTCCCCAAAGTAGTCCCCATAACACTGCAGTCATCACTCTCACATTTCATTCATTTGAACAAAAAGTCTGACTTGTGGTTCTGGGCAAGTGATGTAATCTACAAGATTCCTGATCTAATTTTTAAATTTTCATACCAATAAAAAGTTTGCTCAAACTTCATTCATAAATTTATGTAGTCATGTCAAAGGCACTCATATATTGGATGTCACAAAATTTCACTTGAACATCATACAAAGCATCATGTATTTCACGTAGCTGTCAGTAAGACTGTAAGATCAATACACCAAGTCCTGAACCTTCAAACCTGCAGTGTCACATTTCCCCCACTTTAATTAGTACTGTGTTTCTAAATGTCAGAGAAGAAAAGAACTAATTTCAGTTACTTATCATTCATATTCCAATAGCATTTATTGTTTTGGTAAAAACAGCAATGTTAGTAAGATTTCATTGTGAGCACACAACATACCCTAAGTTATTTTCTGATGGATTATCCACAGACTGTGAATTCCAAGATCTCCTTTCCATGCTTCTGGACCACTTCCTTCCACTGCTGTCAGTACACAGCCAAAGAATGTTAATATTAAAACGTATGTCATAATCTTTAGGCTTAACCAGACAACATCAGCAACATAAAACAAGAAAACATATACAAGGCATCGCAAAGTGAAACACAGCCCATATGTCTCAGACTTTCTAAATTTCAATTCCTCAGAACCTAGTGACGCTTCTCATCTTTGGTATCTGCATTGTCTATGTTCTCACTTCTTCAGATATTCCTGACTAGCCCCACTTACGACCACTAGTACTCCCTACCCTCTTTATCTTATTCCATTTATCATCACTGGACTTACTTTCCAATATGAAAACAAAAGGGCCAGGGATTTAGCTCAGTGGTTCTGCCGCCTGCCTTATAAGCGCAAGGACCGGAGTTCTATCCCTGGTTCCAAAAAAATAAAAAAATGACCAATATGAGAACAAAAAAAAAAATTTAGTATATACTTGCTTTTCTGTTGTTTTCTTCCCCCGTGAAGACGAGATATTAGTACCTAGCATGTGATACACATTCAAAATCACAGAATTTGCTAATCAATCTTTGGGCTGTACGTACAATTCCCCTGGGCTATAGAGAAAATAAGTCATCTAAAGGAATCTGAAGGAGTAAAGGAAACTAAACAGAGAACACACCTTACAAAGTCCATGCAACTGATGTCCCTACTGCATACTAGTGAAGAACACAGTCCTTACACATGGACAAAGTTGGACTCCAGATCTCTTATGAGTGACACTGTGGGCAAAATTGCCTCTCCATGCCTCATTTTGCCCACTATGAGACAGAGATGATAACAGCACCAACAGTGTTATGCAATGTGGCAGTGTGTGTGAAATACTACAGTATATAGCAGAAAGTATTTCTACAGTGGAACACAATTATTACTACTGTACTCATTTCATTTAGGCTCCATAGCTTATTTTCTAGTAACTCCCAAACAATTTATGCTGAGAATGGCTATCTACTTCCTAAGTCCATACAAATGAGAAAGCAGAGAGAAGAAATAAACAAGAGCCATAAACAAGAGCAGCAAAAAAGGAAAATGAAAAATCCTAAGACCTAGATTTCTAAGGTACTGCATCATAGCACACAACAGTCCATGAAGACACCTGACCACAAGAAAAAGGTTCTACCACATCTAATAATGTTTAAAGATGGTGAGAAATTATAATTCTAAAGTTAGGTAGGTTAACTTCAAAATTTATGCAATCTTTTGGATTAAAAAAGAACTTCCACTTTCTTCAGAGTTTACCTTCTAGAGAGGGGGTACAGTAAATGAGACATTATTGTATGAGTGGTGTGGATATCTCGGCTGTAACGCCCAGTCTCCAGACATTTTTGCTATTTATGGTGAGATCATTCTTCCCTCAAGCATCTATGCCAAATGTGGATTTCAGGAGAGCAGTAAACAGTTCCATGCATGGTCTCAGTGATATTGCTACCACCTTGTAACAAATCTGTATTTATTAAACCTAATTTCCTTTAGCAACAGAATAAGCAAGGCCTACTGAGATTAGTTAAAAAAATCTAATGTTAAAATCAAAACCACATTCCAAATTTGTTAAAAGATATTTTTTGCTCAATTCTTTTGTAAAAACATTGGTCACCATTTAACATACAGCAGCAATAAAATGCACCCAGTTTACATGCATGAACAAGTCAATAAGTTGTAAAATACGGACAACACGAATTTCAAACAAACAGTACTAAAGTGGTTCACGCTGCATTTACCTTAAGTTTAGTGCTCCTAACAGAGAAATAGCTAGTGTGAGAAACAAGGAGTTCCAGTTTCAATCTGAAATAAGGTTCTTTGTGTAAGTAACATGAAATAATGGCCACAGATCATTTGCCGAAAAGGACCCATTCTTCAGAAATCACCTGTGCAAAGCACCGTATTAGAGCAGGCCAAGACCCTGAAAAATGTACATCTCCACTTAAGGTCAGAAGGGCGTTGTGTTTTGAAAACCAATTCTCTAAATGATTCAAATTTTTTTTTATTGTGACTGTGAAATACAGTATCTTTCAGTATGAAGGTTCTATATTCCAAATTTTGGCAACTTAAATAATTCTGCAGATTTTTAATTAAACTGATAAACATTCTGTAAATAATATAAATTTCATTAGTAGAAGAACTGGATTATTTTTAAGAATAACAACAAAAAAAGTTCTTTCTAAACTTATAGGCCAAGTTTCTAGATATGGGACTTAAGAAGCTAAGCACCAAAATTTAAAAAAAAAAAATTTTTTTTTGTTTCTTAAACAAAGTTAGGGAAAAAAGGATTTATACATTTACCAAAAATATTAATCACTCTAATCCTGACAGGATCAATAATTGATAATTTGATAGACTGATAATCTGAAGTTTAAAAGATATTTTTGCTTATATGTGATATATGGAAGATATAAAAGAATTTTAAGATTTCAAGTTATATAATCTTAATCAAATGAGAATGTCACACTATTTGTGCATAAGAATTTTATATACTTACTTTATACTGTGTATTTTCCTTCTCCCTCAAAATTCATGATTAATGGATATCACTAAATCATTCTGAAGTGCAGAGAATTTAATACATGTTATGAAAAAAAATCTCTGAAAATAAGAAAAAGTAACTATGTGTAAATGAAACTTAAAATAATATACCTGTAAAGAGAGTAATCATACAAGTTTGTCTTCTTGTGCATCTACTTAGCAACATTTCAGTAACCAAAATAGTAACTTTTAATTTCTTTTCCATGATGTGTCTACTCTGTTACAAACAGAAGTAATTTTTTAGCATGTGTACAGATAACATGCTAAAAAAAACTTTAAAGATTTAAAATCTGAGTCATACATGATTACATACACAAGACTGGAAATGAGCAACATTAACCAAGCATATGCTTTTTAAGCACTTGCACAAAGGAAGAAAAAGGACAAATATGGGAGAAAATATTTCTCCTTATGTAACTTTTGACTAGATTATACAACAAAAAAGCAAAATACATGATATTTAGCTCACTTCAAAAGAAATTAAATTCACTAAACATTAGAACTATGAGTGTTTAATATTCAGATTCATTCTATTCAGATGGAAGATAACACTTTTTGGAGGAAAAAAATCCTTCCCAAGCAATAGAATTTGTATCTCATTTACCTTCCAAACACCACTTCAACTTTACTTCCTGTACCATAAGCCTTCTTGACAATTTCCAATTCTACTTCTCTTAAAAAAAACTTAACCTCTTAGATTCAAGTGCTATGTCCAACTGCTTAGATTCCCCCTAATTCTATAATCTTTATTTTAAAAAACTATAAAATAATCATTTTCTTCCCTTCAGGAGTCAGAATCCACCATGTAATTACTCATTTGAGGAAAATTAAAGGCTAAAAAAAGTCACCTAGAAATAAGTACACTTGTTAGCATGTGCAGTTGTATGTAAGAGGGAGACTACATAATTGCTCTTTCTGATCAACCTCTGGCTCTTAAGACAGTATGGTCAGAAAATTAAAATGAGTAACACATACTTGAAATCTGCATTCTTTTTGAATAGATGAGAGGTAAAAATTACTGAAAATTACATGATCGTAAATGTTTACTGTGAAACAGTACAAAATTGATGCTGCCAAAAAGAGAGTAAAAAAATCTTTAACTAATATTAAGCTTAAGAAATCTGGGAAAACCTTAAGGTTGAATTGTAACTATCAGGGAATAACAACAAATGCTTTCATGCATGTACACATGATAAGTAACAAGTAAGCAAACCCAGGTCAGTACAGTACATCAACGACTGAAACTTAAATAGTATTTGATGTATAAAGAAATAGAGGGAAAAGATAAAATGCTGACTGCCATTGATGAAAAAGCATTTCAACAGTTTACACAAAACAATACTAGTTTTTTTAAAAAAAGATGTCCTAAGAAGACCAAGCCACAATAAGTTAGTGTTTTCCATAATACATGCTGAATTATTTGATCCCATATCTATACAAGGTTTCTGTCTTAATTCTTAAATGCTGTGACAGCATGTTTAATAACTGAGGTACAACAGTTTACATCTTTTTATAGGTATTCTAAGATGACTAATTTTTCTCTTCCAGTTTTTCATCTTCTTCACCTCCTCCAAAGAATATTAAAGGGAACATTCCTAGAATGCAGCCAATAGTCACTCCAACAGCTTTGCCCTAAAGAAACAAAAAAGAACATTTTTTTAAAAGTTACTATATATAGCTGAAAGAGGTATATTTGCTTAAGTATCTATGATAATAAACAACTGCATGTAGTATAAAATTCAACCATGACTGCATTTGATGATTATGGTAACTTAAATATGAAACATAAGGTACAAAAATATTCTATAACAAATCAACTTAAACTTCAAAGCAACCACAAAAAAAAACTGTCATAAAAATAACATCAAAGAAAGTCAAATAAAAAGCACTTTGAAAAAACTGTACGTATGTTTGAATGTCAGAAGAAAGGAAGGCAGGAAAAAACCCTCACCAATACTGCAGATATATTTGAGTTTGCTACCCCTTATACACATTCCTTTTCAATATTCATCCCCACATATACCTAATTATATACAGATGTAGTCATTATATCAACACGGCTTTTCTGCCTCACTTCACTCCCTACAGCAACACATTGTAATAAACTCCTTTCCATACTGCTAAATTTAATATAAAGACTTTAAACTCCTCTATAATCTACTTAAAGTTCTCCTTACCACAAAAATACACTCCTACCTTTTCACACTGTGAGTGACAGAACAATGATATTCCGTGTATACTTACCCAATTATTTACTTGAAGTCAATTATTAATATTTGTGTGTCGTCTAGACTAGTGTCACGCTGCCCACTCTTGACAAAACCACGTGTACATGTGCCAATTGCAATGTATATGTATAGATACATGTCAGCTTTTCTGCAACCTCACCTACATCTGAAAAACTTTCAATTTTTACTTGTAGAAATGGTTTAAAATGTTTATCCCTATAATAATTACAAGTTTTTCCAGCTAAGTTTCATTTCTTCATACAAACACCGAGAAATCTACTATGTGACACATTCTGTACTGGCTAAATCAGAGACAGGGACAATCAGAAGCAGTCTCTCTCCCAGAAGCTTCCATTTCGGTACACAGAGGACACAATGCCTCCGTGTCAAGCACTGCAAAAGCTCTGACAGCTACACAATCCATAGTTTTAAATAAAGTATATTCTACACACTGCCATTTAGCTAGCAGATCCTAAAGTCTTTCTAATGTAATGCAGCCAGTACACTGACAGCAGCCTGTACAATATCTTTTCAACTATATTATCTTCAGGTTCTTGTTGGTGGTGACAGTGGTAATGGTGGTAGCGGCTGCATGCCTGTGCCTGACATAAACAGTCAAATCCGTCATTTTCATTACGTCAAATGTTAAAAGGTACCACCTTCTTCAGAGCTTTAACAAGTAGAAATTTTCTTCATTCCAGAGGCTAAGTTAATCCTAGATTCTTATTTTAACTTCAACATTTGCATTTATATATTCGTAAGGACCATATTGTATTTTCGACTTCTGACTTCCTTGTATACATGAAATAACCACTGCTAATAGACTGTTTCCACTCTCATCCATTCTGTTGGAATACCTCTTACAACTGTCCATGCCAGCCAAGGCTTTCCTCCCCCTCACTTCAGGAATGCTAGTCAGTGAGTCCTAAACCAGCTGTCTCATAAAGATAGAAAGCCCCAAGGGCAGAAAAGGAGGAAGGAAGTCATTATCTTCTGACTTCCCCAATCTAGGGCCTGAAACATTGTTTAGGTGTTGTAAAAACAGTTATTTACATTTTATTATTAGTTTTTTTGTTTTGTTTTTGGTATCAGGAATCGAACTCAGGTCCTTGACCTTGCAAGGCAGGTGGCGGAATCACTGAGCCAAATCCCCGGCCCATTATTAGGTTTTACAATATCCACCCTGCAACTAATGTAACAACTCCAGTCCATCTGGAAAATTGTTTTTATCAGAAAATACGTCCCAAGTTCAAACAAGCAAATTACAAATGTGGTTTTAAAATACAACCTATAGTAACTAGAATCTGCATAGGTGTTTTTGTACCTTCTATTGTGAGTAATTTCCAGAGATAGCTTATGTCACGAATAAATGGCCAAGCACTAACCTCAAATATGTTAGACGGTGTGTAATCAAAATGCTGTGTTACAAAGCAGATTTAATCCTAACCAAAACAAGCAGAATCAACATCCAGGAATAAAATCACTGCTTCAATACACAGGTGGGAACTTTATCAAAGTACACAATAAATACAGACATACTAGTGTAGTAAACTGAGGTACTTCTGTAATAAAAATAAGGTAAATAAACCTACTTCTAGAAAGAAAACAGAATTATCAATTATGTGAGGAGATTTCCAGGAAAATAAATTTTTCCTGCTCTCAACTGTAACATGAAAACTGTAAGATAAGCTGCTAGAATGTTAGACTATCTGCTTTTCAGTTGCAAGCTGCACACTTCCCAAGTTTCGTGGAGACCTTCCCACTACAATACAAAGTGTAAAAGTCCAAATTGTTCCTTTAAAAATACCTGTCCTTACTTTTAAATATTGCATTTAAAGTGATAAATGATAGTTTTAATCTTACCTACATATATATTTCTATATATGGAAATTTTTAAACACAAATATTTATAGTACTTCCAACAAATTCATTTTAATACCTTTACTAAGACAAATTCAGTTCAACTTAATTTAAATACATCAATCTTATATATTATCTTTTCCCTTGTCTCCTATTAACATTTCAACTACTCCCATTGTGTTTTCCTCTCCCATTAGTCCATGGAAATCATACAGAAATGATCCCCCGTGAGCAGTAGTCCCATTGAGTTCCAAGAACCCCTAAGGATGCAAAATCTACAGGTGTTCAAGCCCCATAAGGAACATATGGTTCTCTGCACAGAACCTATACATCGCCTTCTGTACACTTTAAACCATCTCTTAATTACTTACAGTTCTGAATACAATGCAAGTCCCATTTAGTTGTTATATTACATTGTTTAGAGAATAATGACAAGGGGAAAGTCTGTACAGGTTCAATAATGACACAATATTTTCAAGTATTTTTCCATCTATATGGTTGGCTGAATCCACATATCAGAAGCAGGAGACACTGAAGACTGACTGTATATAGCAAATCTTCTCAGAAACCTTAAAGATGTCTTTATAGCAAGACAAACTGATTGCCATTTGTTGCTTCTTGAAACTTTTTTCCTTGCAAACCTCCAAAGGCGCTTTCATTCTATACATTTTCTCAATAGTAGGAAATTTTAGAGTGCAGCAGAATTACCTTGAAGGCTTGTTAAACACAAGTTCCCACATTTTACCTATAGATTTCTGACTCTGTAAAGCTGTAGCAGATAGACTTTAAAGTGGTCACCGGGACCTGTTCCTTTTGCTATTCATATCTTTGCATAAACTCTTCCCACAGAATACAGGCAAATACTCTAATATGCTTCTAACCAATAGGAAAGGTGACCCGTTATTCCTGTGATTACATTACATTAGGTTGTTAAGATTCCATCTTGCCAGCAGACTCATTTTCTCTCCCTTACTGGCTCTGAAGGAGGTACTTTGTCCTGACAGGCATATGGAGAGGGCCACATGGAAAGAAACTGTACTAACTTCTGGATGGGGGGACAGAGTCCAGGAGATGACAACTACCAGTCAAAGGATAGGGCAACATCTGGCCAGAAGTTTGGAGCTTAACAGCCAAGATAAAACTACAAGGCATGATCAAAAAAATACAATGAATGGAAATAAAAGTATAAATTTATTATTTTTTAAAAGAAAAGCATGGTAAATGTTCAATTTTTTAAATTTATCATAGTAAGACACACTGTCATTGATCTCACTAAAAATGCTCCATCTCTCTTGGAACACACTTATCTATCATTCCTGCCATTTTCTGAAGCATTTCTGAAAGTCCTTTTTCTTGAGTGTGTTTAGTGGCACTGTTATGGCTCCTCAGTGCCCGGAACTGATTCAAAGCCTTGAGCTTTCATGTTCATTTTTACTTTGGGGAAGAGCCACAACCTGCATGCTGCCAGATCTGGGGGATAAGATCGACAAGGCACTGTGATGCTTTAACATGCCTATCTTTCCGGTGGATGTCACTGAGCAGCAGCATTCCCCACATTTTTTATCAGACAGGTAAAGACACCCATGAAAAAGGACTTCCAGAACTGCTTCAGAAAATGGCAGACAATGAGATGAGTGTGTTGGCAACAAGGGGAAGCTTTTTGAGGGAAATTAATAGCAATATATCTTTTACTGAATAAGTTTTTAATTAAATATCTGTGGTATATTTTGGTCACCTTGGAATTTTGTGAACAACCTGTGTTGGCCTGGAAGTGGATCTAGCTCCAGGTCAAGCTCCAGACAAGAAACAAGTCCGTTCTCCTGACGCACAGAAAAGAAGAGGTGTGACATATGTTAGTCTATGCTGTGCATTTTTATATAGCAATAGCTAGGCCTATGGGGACTGACAGTTTGCATTTCTAACAAGTTCCTATGCAGTCAATCCTGCTGATCCAGAACCATTACCCTATAAAATCTCACCATCTCCTATGGTTTTAACTCTCCTTCACCTTACCAGTGAGGCTAACAGTGACCCTGCTATTTACTACTGCAATTTGTCTCATCTTAGCACTCCAATCTCTTTTATGCTGTTCAGCCTTTTTTCCCTTCATAATAATTATCAATTTCTAATACACTAAATATTTTATTACATACTTTTATTGACTTCTCTTCCCCTGCTTACTATTAAGATTCACCTGGGGGAAAAAAAGATCCTTTGGTAACATACATATTCAGAACTCTGAGAACTGTACCTTACACACAGTAGCTAAGCAATAAATATTTGTCGAATGAATGATGATTGATACCCGTCATCTCTAATTCAGACCTTGTGAACACTTGACCATTACTCCACATGCCTACCAGGCGTGTCACCACTTGCATGCCCTGCTAACACCTCAAATTCAACATGTCCACAATATTTTCCCTTACAAACTTAATTCTTCCTTTCTTTCTTGACTTAATTGGTAGCATCATGACCCATCCAGTTTCCTTCCTATTTAAGGCTTTTCACTAGTTTACCATCATTAAAATATGAGGTCTGAGCTCCTTGGGAGAGCACATAATGCCTTATCTACCTGATTCATGCTTGCTTCTCCAATGCTTTTTCTATTTACAACTCCTATGTACTATATTACTATATCCTTGTAGTACATAACTTCTTGTATTACTCCCCCTTTTTTCTTACTCATTCCCTTTTCTTGAAAGTTAGTATACTCAGAACTCTCCTGTTCATCTAGTAAATGCTTCATCAATTATTCAAAAATCAGCTTATATCTAATTACCAAAATCTCACCAAAAGAAATTTCTCCCCAAAACATTAATTCACTTACTACTGCTATTGCTCAATCTTGTGCAAATGGAATGTTTAGCTTTAGTTTTTTTGAGGAATCTCCATACTAGTTTCCATAGTAGTTGTACCAATTTACACTCCCAGCCTTTTAGGTAAAAGTATGTATCTTGAGACCATAAGTTTAAGTGAAACACATCAAAAATGAAAGTTTAAATATCACATTATTTCTCTTGTGTTAGAAATCAAAGTACACATAAGGGACAGAATGGAAGATACGGGAAAGTAGGAAGAACTTGTTCAAATGGGAAGGGAAACAACGGAGGGGAGTAGTGGAAGGGGAAGGAAGGGAAAGGGGACTTTTAAAAAAGAAAGAAAAAGAAAAAATGGAAACTGAGCTTTTGTAAATGGGGAGGGGAAGAAGGGTTGAAAGGAATGGGAAAAAAAGAATTAAGATATATGTGCAGGTACAAATTCCCCATGATGAATGTGATCACTATGTAGAGCAAACATGTATTAATAAAAAAATAAAGATAAAAAAGTAGTTATTATAATAACTAAGGAGCTGGTAAACAAATTGTTTAATTGAAAACTGCCAAGACCTGGTAATTTTAACAACTTCACACATAGCAACTTGCATCTCAAGGGCCTGAGGGTGCAGCCAGAGGCAGAGAGTGCCAGCACAGCCCTGGGTTAAGCCTCCCACACCAATTAGTCATGTACTGTCTCCCAAGTTCATTATCCTTAACCACATAAATTACTTACCAAATGTGTGCTGACGCGTGTCTGCCACATGTCAACTTGCTTTGGTGTAAGATCAGGAATTGATAAGCCTAACCTGGAAGCCAAAGCTTCAACATAACCTGCAAGTCTTTAAAAAAGAGAACAAACAGTAGATTTTAAAAGAAATGTAGAAGTGTCCTCACATAGCAAAAAAGTGATCACACAAAAAGAAGCAAGATAATTTTACTTCTGTACCTGGCACTCCAGAAATGCCACAAACATTTCTTACAACATTTACTTTTATTGTGTATAATTGTATCAGTTTTAAAATATTTTCATATTAATGTATTTAATATAGGTCAATTGACTTAGAGCAACTGCTATCAATATCTTTAAAAAAAACAATTCAAGATATACAAAAAATTTTTACAAACAATTACAATTTCTTCACATAATTATTCCAAACTCAAATCAAAGTAACGTGATATAAATTATTAAATATTATCGGAAAGCCCAAGTTTTTAAAAATGTATAGATTGGTATACAAAAACCAGCAGCCTAAAATTTTCAAGCCTACCTCAAGTATTTTATCAATTCTAAGTTATACTTACATATAATCTTACTTTATAAACTCTAAGAAAGATGACATTTGCCAATTTAACTATGTGTACCATTCAAGCCTAAGATGGATCCTAGTTATCAGTTAAGTTCTTAAAAATTGTGCATCTAAAAACCCAACAATGTGGTATTACTCAGTGATAGCAAAACCAGGATAGAGGAGAAATACTTAATTATAGACTCCTAGTAAACTCTTCACTTTTAGTCAAAAATAATTGTTTCATGGTACAATCTCAAACTAAATCACTTTAAAAATCTATGAGATTTAGTCTTATTAAATATATCAGAAAGCTATATAGTCACTATACTATCATTAACTTTAAAGGTGGAAATTGGGAAATGGAATAACTAAGAGGGTTATCATGATAGACATATCAAGAATTCCAGGGGCCAGAATTTAACCAAGTGGTTTAGCCACCTGCCTCACAAGTGCAAGGTCCCCAGTTCAATCCCCAGTACCAAAAAAAGAAAAAAGAATTCCAAGAATACAAAATTCGAATCATGATCCTAAACAAGCAAACTGCTTTTAACAGTAACCTTGGCCCAAAACTCTACTACTGTGATGATGAACCTTTTAGTGCTTTCACAATACAAACAGACCACTGCAGCCATCACACATGCCACAGGTTCACAACCTTTGCTATAGTGCACTCATCTAATACTAAGGGTTAAATCACTTATAAAGAAAGCTCTCTTTGCCTACATTACGGGACTACTTTGATTTCTATTGGCACCAAATCCAAATCACCCCACTAAAATTAGCCAAGGAAGTCACTGAGTCAACAAAGACTGAAAGAGCTAAGTTTATCATAATTACTAATGTCAATTCCTCAGCCTTCCCCAAGCTCAGAAAGCAGCCCAGGCCATCTGCTACTAGGAAGAAAGCTGGCCTCTTATAACTAGCCATCCTCAGTCTGTTTCATCATTTCTAACACATAAAATAAAGAGAGAAAATGATCAAACAAATCTATGTGTCAGGTGCTGGAGCTATGCTGTTGAGCACCTTTAGTATGCATGAGCCCTTGGGTTTAATTTCCAATAGTTATTATTATATATGATTATGTATTATGTAACTATATTTGTGTGTGTGCATGTATATGCTCTGGCCATCTCAGTCTATAGTAAACATATCTAATCAGTATTCTCAAATTTATTCTCAATTTATTCCTATCTTTGTGCTATGTGTAAGAGGAAAACAGGGATAATGATGGAAGTTCTCACTTTTAATACTGATTTATTCATAGAAATGTATGTGAAATACATCTTCAGTAAATATAACTCCATTTTATGTTATGGTAATTTTAGAGTAAATTTCTATTTATACCATAATGCAAAAGTCCTATACCCAAAACCATTAATTCTGTATGAACGGGGGTATAATCAAAGCATCTACATTTAAGGCACAACAGCCAAATATGCAGCACTATTGGCTCATAATGTTAAAATTCTAAAATTCAGCACAAAGTAAGTTGTCCCCTTTATGCTTTTCAATTAAAGGAAATCTGAGAAAAAAAAAAAAGATATGTAACTACCCAAATGCACAAATGAATAAATGAATAAACCTACCCAAGTCCAGCTAGATCTGACACAAGATTTCCCAAAGCAGCAGCTAAAAATTTAAAAATGTACAAGTGAATTGTTACAAAATAGTCAGAAAACACATAATGCATCACTATGCAATCCACTGGTCTGCAAGCATCATTACATTTATCTGATTCCACCAACTATACCTAAAATAACACACTGGATAGCTCTGAATCTCAAGAGTTTGAAACAGAGCACAAATCTGAAATCACAACATTCTACTTCCATTAAGTAACAGGTTTATTTGTTTTCTGTTATATCAGCTACTTTCCACTGTGGTTTCAAAACTAAAACATTTATGAAATATTTTATACTCAAATATGGATTTTAGTTCAGGGAATTTGGATAGCTGGACATTAAAGAAAATCATATATACAACTCTAAAGTCAACAGTCAAGAAAAAGAAATGCTTCTTGCACTAACTCACTTTGATCTCATAGTTTGTTACAATAAAACAAACATTTCAAAATCTCACTATCATGAAGAATACAGTGGTTAAGAGACAGAATTTCAATCTTACATTTTAAAATGTTTCTATCCCTCTAGAAAAATAATGAGACAAAAGATAAAAGAGGTTGGAGGTAACACTAAATTACCACAAAACTTTTCTTAACATAGACAATATAAGAGAGTGTTGTTACCCATTAGTCAACATGTACTACCTAAAATTTCTCAGAAAATAAAAAAGTGCTACATATACAAAACTAACACTCGGAAGATTATGACTAAAGAGATACATAGAAATCTCAATAAATAAACTCATTCTAATAAATTATCCTCTTCTAAATCTAACTCACCAAAATGTTTTATAGAGACAAGAGAATAGTAACAATTGCTATAATCAAATACCTGCCATCGTTGAAATTCCCAAAATAATTCCAATAGACAACTCAATCTGGGTTCCCTGAAAAATGATTAGGAAAAAGAAATCTTAAAAAGTAAAGCCAAAGTGATTATAAAACTAACAGAGTTAGCAAAAACATATAAAATAGTTATAGCAATATGTACAGCAAAATTATAGCCATAAAGTATGCAGGCAAATGCACACATAGTGAGGTGATTCACTTAACAGTTAAAACTATATATTCATGCAGAAATAACATCAATAATATTTTATTCATTGAAATTAAAGCTTTATAAAAATAGAAAATTGCAAAACACACAGAAATACAATTCATCACTAAAATTCCAGAATTTCTTTTTTTTTTCTATCACAGAGAAAGGTATTTTAAAGCTCTTTGAATGAAAGAAAGATCAAATCAGATAATCTTAATTCTGGATAATATAGCTATACTATTGTTATTTACTCTACCAAATATTAAAACTCTAAACTAATTTCTAGAGAAACCAGGGTTTGTAAAATTATCCTCGTGACATTTAGATCTTTAACCATTATGTGATGGAACTATGTAATTCATTCATAAGTAGTAACATTTAGTATAACAGGTCTGCAGTAAAAACAAGGTCCCACTGCATTTCCACTCCATTTATTTACTGAAAGTTTAAGACCTTCTAAATTTGTATCACTATCCCTCTGCTAAAGAGAGAAGGACCTGCAGTGAAGATTAAACAACCCTCACAGCCTATCCCAAAGAGGAAGCAATCCCGGGATCTACAGTGTTGTGCTAATTCAGTTCTAATCCTTTACCAAGGCTGCTACAGGGGAACTTAATTTTCAGGCTATCTCTTGAATACTGATATTTGAAAATTTTCAAATATTCATGATGGGGGGAAGAATGTTCTATTATGTAGGTATGCTGCATTATTTATAAATTATTTGCAAACTGAAAAGGTAAGTTTCCCCTAATTTTCTGGCTTGTAGGACTTTTGGTTCCACCCTCTGAGATAGTTACTGTTGAGTATGGATGAAATAACTTGATACACAAGTTTCCCAGGCACTTAAAAGTTACAAATTTTCTGAAGGCACCCAAAGAAAAACAGTTTGAAAAGAGAAAAAGGAAAAACACAGCAGTGAATGAAAAGGAATGAAGATGTATATATTTATAAATGAAAAAAAAACAAAACAACCTGGAGCACCACTATAGAAGAAAGGTCCTTCACAGCTACAGCTACAATGCTCAACAAAGACATATGCTGTCTCTAATTCAATGAATCATTGGCGAGGACCAGGAAGAACCTCTTTGCAAAAATTTGTATTCAAAAAGTATGTGCTTAATCATTTGGCTACATTTAAGATGCATAAAGATCCTCCTAAGAACATGAAAAGTTTAATAAGTTCAAAGACGGTTTGAGAGCAAGAGATGTCCCTCTTCTTTACTCTGTCCCACACTTAAATAAAATTATATGCTAACAGGTAAAGTAGGAGCTATGAATTTAATACTAGTAGCCTTAAAGCTATACCTGGCTTATCAACTTAATACAATGAATCTCCTTAATCTATCCCAGAATTCTTAAAAATTACATTCTAATTAAATTTTAAGAAAAGTAACCCCCAAATCCACTACAATATAAGTTAGAGAAAGCAATCTAATAATATGAGAAGGTAATAAACTATGAAACCCAAGGCTCGGTATAACAGCAGCCAACAATTAAGTTCTAATCCATTATAAGCAGTTACACAGGACTTGGTTCGCACAACCACAACTAGGGCAGCAGCCAGGAAAGTGCCTCTAACAGAAAGGAAGAGAGCATCGAACATCTGTGGCAAAAGAGGACAGAAGAATCCAGTAGCTCCTCACTACCTGAAAATAGCAGCTGTTCTACAAGGCCAGGAGATAATCAGTGTTTTGTTTTTTTTTAAAGGGGGTAAAAAAATTCTCCAGAAAACAATGATCACTTATTTCACTTCTTATAGACTCTACAATTGTATTATTTATCTGTTTTAGTTTCTGCATTGTTGCAACTTCTCACCAAAAAAAGTCACACTGTCTGTGACTCTTAGGGACAGTGTGGTTGCCATACCCATCGCTCCTCTCAGGTGTTGACATCAGCTTGAAAATATTTATTTCAGGAAAGATCAGTAATAAATCCCTGAAACCATATTTCAAGGTAAGCAGAATAACAAGTTACTGGGAGCCACCTCAGGCTAGTTGACTAAAAACGAAGCACAGGCCTCAACAAGACAAATAATTTGACTCTCATTATGAGTGTTTCATTTGGTTTGGTTTAGGAGCTGTATTCAAACAAAGACAGCTATCACTTTAGATATTTATTTTAAATAAGACTATACTGTAAGGTCTTATTCAGTCTAAAAAACTGCCAGCTTCCCTCTTCTAGTCTCTGTTCAACATATTCCTACCCACTCTTTATGCAAAATCTTCTTTACAATTCCCCACAGAAAAGGATAATCTCAGCATTTGAGTATCCAAAGTCCACTATACATACAATGGTTATGAAGGTGGTAGAGGGAATCTTAAGTGAAATCATGTGAAACAGTGAAGTCATGTAAAAATGAAAGAAATGTCTCCCATAAAGACCTTTTAAATCAGACAATCTATTCATGAACAGATGAAGTCTTACCTACAGCTTATAAATTCATCATAAAGGAGTTTTCATTTCAATTAGATTGGATTATATTAACTAAATAATTTACCTAACTCAAATTTAATAGCTTCAAGAAAGGTGGTATGGTTCTCAATACAGTTGTACCTCAGTTCATGAATGCTTCTGTTTGCATAAATTTGGTTCACAAATAAAAGTGTTTGGCAAAATTTTGGTTTTATTTTTGCAAACCCTACAATGGGTGACAAATAGGACTGGGGCCATCTTTCCCACACAACACAAACATGGCCATCTTTTCCAAAAATCGTAGAACAAATTAAGTTCATGAACCGAGGCACCACTGTACTTAAGTTTCTATATTCACAGATGTACAAGTTGACCAATTCTATTTTTAATATGTACATTACAAAAGTATCACAATCACCAAAAAGACTACCACTCTGGAATTACATTTTGGGGACACTCATTTAATGTGTGTCACCTTTAAACATCTGGTCTTTTCAGACTACTCAAGAATTCACCTCTACCATAACTCTGTAGCAGGATTTGGCCCTGCTGTGTGAACCCTGCATGCAAGAAATCCTATATTGCTTGTGTATTCTCCTCACATTCAGCAATTCTAAAAATCATCCCATGTTTTTTGGTTTTTGGGGGCTTGTTGTTGTTTTGTTGTGTAGGTTTTTGAGACACAGTCTCTCTCGTTCAAGCTCCAACTAGGAGCAATCCTTCTGCCTTTGCCTCCTAAGAACTGTGACTATAGGAATGCACCACTGTGCCCAGCTTCTTTGGGGGCAGACTCCTACAATACAGTCTAGCTGTGCTATAAATAATAGGTAATGCAATGTTTCTCAAAGTTAGTCAGTGTCAGACTCTCAGTTCTAACTCAGAGAACTTTGATGTTCTCAAATTTTAAGTTTAAATTGAGAACTCATAAAATGGATATTCCTTTGTCCTACTAGGATACAGTTAACAGATTTTTGATGCACTTACTGCTAATGTCTAAGGATAATTTTGCATAAAGGACTCAAAAAATATGTGCTGAAATCAGATAACTGCCTTCCTAACTGAACTACAATCAACCTACTGTATTTCAATGAAATTTTTTTTAAAAGAGGGTAAAGAGCTGGGCAGTTTTAGCAGACTCGCATTTCAATCATAATTTACTTGTTAGGAATGTAGACCATACAATGGTATCCAAAAGCAAAAGGCATAATTAATAGTAAGAAAGATAAATCAGCCATCCTTGAGATTGAGCCACATTTCTAAGGAGTGCTTTTACATTAAAATGACCGCAGCATAGGGGGACTTTTCTTTGCAACACAACAGAATGCAGAATGGCAATGTAATGAATGTTCTAAACTGAAATTTAAGAGTTTTGGATTAAAGGGCCAGACTAAAGGCTAGACTGTATATGAAATACCTACTAAAACATTTTTAGATTGGAACATCAATACAGAACTAATTAAAAATGTACATATAGGATGACAACTATAAACACATCAGAAAAATTTACATGCTTTTCTCTTTAACAAAACTGCCAAAGTAGAAAGAATAATATAAGCCCTACATGTTTTGCCTAAATGCTCTGCCAAAAGTCTCAATGATATATATGATGCCTTCAAATTGAGCTAGCCTCATTAATATGAAACAGTAAAAATAGGTTTGCTCTTTATGTTAAAACTTTATAACTATGATATGTAAATCAGAAAATGTAGACCACATTAATTTCTTTATTAATTCAAAATAGAAGTGGTGAGAAGAACTTACTGCAACAATCATAATTGCATTATCCAAAAAGCCAAACCCTACGAAAGGTATCGCATTGTGGAAGAATACTGAAAAACATCAAGAACAGAAAAATATATTTTAAAATTTCCATAACTTCAGAATTACAAAAACAGATCATATGATTAAAGTCTCCAAAACTGACTTGATAATCTTTAGAATTTGCTTACTCCTATAAGTTTCATTACTTGATAAAAGTTATACTGAGAAAATAAAAAAGTATAACATGCAAAAATAATTGTTACACTTTTATATAAATTGCCAAAGTACAGTCAGTATCAGATTAACTGAGTACTTTTATTAGATAAACATTAAAACTCTTGAGTTTCATACTATATCCCCAAAATAGCTCCTTAAACCAAGTGGTTATATGTGTTAAGTGATTTTGGAGGTCTTTCTTTCTTTCTTTCTTTCTTTTAATGGTGTTAAGTCCACAGAAAGAATAATTAAGATATTACTCCAAAGTTATTAAAGTTTGATTATCATTATAGTGACTTCAACACCAATGAAACCTGATAAGCGGTTAAAAATAAAAAACCACTTCAGCCCACAACCACTATCAAAGACTAAGATCAATGAGAAATAATACAGTACTATTATATATAAAATTATCGCAATTATACAATATTACATGAGATAGTACATAATATGTATATAAGAGGTCATTTTGGATTTCTTCTTTTATTAAGCAAAAATATCCAAGGTCAAAAACAAAATATTTAATTATGAGGATTATTAAAACCTATTAATATGATAAAAATCAAATAGCACACTAATGAAATGGGATTTTTCAAAGACTTTATTTAGCTTTAAAATTCTTTTACTTTTTGCCCAAGACTAGGTACTTGCCTGATAAAACACTCACAATTTTACAAATAGCTTCTAAAATATATACACAATCCCAATTGCCAAAAATATAAATTTAATAGGTCAAGAGTACAATACCATTTTTTAAATGCACTAAAAGAAATATGTACACTGCAGAAAAAGCTACTTAAGTATATCCAGAAATCACCTTCCCAGTGGTCTTTGAAACATAAAAAAGGCAAAATACTATCAAAACCAGTTGGGATTACTCAGTCTATTGGAGTTAACTTGATAGCATCTCTAAAACTGGCCAGTTACAAATATCTTAAAATTTAGGTGGTAAGGACATTAAATTAAGATTATATTAATTGCTATTCTGGTAAAAAGTTGGCCAGTAAAACCAAGGCACTTTGCTACAACAATCACTTTAAACTATAAATATATGTCTATGTTTACACCTAAACACATAATTATTAAAAATTTTACTTTAACCCAAAAGGAAAAATGTGATTACAAAAATATGTATTATATGTTCCACTAGGAACTTGAGATACAAAAGATAAGAATTGGTCCCTGGTTCTTGAAGGATTTTAGGTATGATAATATATCCACATAAATGGTTAATTTCAATATAACCTACATAAAATGATAACAGCATTACACAGTACTATCAATATAGATTTTATGAATCTGGAGAGAACCATGAAAGATTACTTGGGAAGAGAAGTCTTAAAGAATTTTTTAATTGTTTTGGTATATGAGGAATGTTATTAACTTCTAATATAAATTATATTCTACTGTGAGAGAAAAAAGAATCAGCTATTAAAGTTTGTTCTAATTATATAAATTTGTTATATAAGGATCTGCTAATTTGTGATTTTTTTCAATTTCCCTTGAAAAACACTGTAATTCAGCAGCTACTAGCAAATCATACTTAATATCTAGCTTCCATTTACAACCAATTCAAACTCACTACATAATTCTCTTCTTCCATTATCTTTAAAATAAGACACTAAACTTTTTCTATTAGTCAGTCTTATAATATTTATTCCTATCAAAAAGAAAGAACACCAGGAGTATTATAACCGGGTTTTCTTTCTGGTGGCTGCAAGCGAACTTTACTTTTTTCCACTGTTAGGACGCTGACAGAAGCACCTCCACATCAGAACACAGTGCTGCCCAGCCAGGAGCTAGAAGCCCTGTCAGTTCTCTAGCTTAGATCCAAACACATCCTTTTCCTGGGAAGTAAACACATACTGGACTTTTTCTGGGAATTAAAAACATTTCTATAATATGTTTAATTCTCTTTCTTTCTAGATGGTAAAATATTTTAACAATACTGGTATTTTTAAACAACAGTAGATATCCCATAATATTGTGATGTGTCAAACTAAGTTTATAAAGTGCTTCTGCATAATAAATAAAATAATTCACTCATCCAGAAAGATGTGATTCTTCTGTGTTATCAGTGAATGATACAGATATTTCAAATCTTAAGTACAGATGCAAAAATCTTTAACAATTATACAGCCATTACCATATCTCAGCTGTCCTGGGGTGGGTGGTTGAGCTTCCAATTTTTCTAAAGGGGAAAAAAGAGCGTGGGGCAAGAATTAGTTACAGTAGCATGATCTCTTTATCACAATGAAGAAAGTACCAAAAGAATTATAAAATGGGAAAATAAGAGTTTATTTATAAATCATATTTGGTTAATGGACCAAAGTTATCTATTTACAAGAATATTAATCAGTATGGATTAGATGACAAGATTAGCAAACAAAGCTGAACTTCAGTTACAACTCCATCATGGACCCTATAGCCCTGGGTGAACCATGTGTCTTTTGTTTTTCTTTTAAGGTTTTGTGCTTATAGGAGACTATTTACATTATAGCAGACTATTTACACTTCAGAAATAAAACTACTATTTTTTAGGTTGGTAACTCTAAAGGACGTCAAAATATATACAAATAATGATAGTAGAAAAAGAATACATAAAGACAACCAGGTATTACTTTAAATGAGTAAAATAATATTTTTAAAGCAATACAGTTGCAAAGATTAATTTACTGGACTGTGCAATGTTGCTTAATTCCACTTGATAATATACTGGGTTTTTTTTTTGCTTGTTTAAAATTTTTATTTATACAACTGTTTATTTTATTTATTTTTTTATTTTATCCCATTTCCAACTCCCCTTTTCTCCTCATGTACAAAAGCTTTATTTCCATTTTTCCTATTTTCACTTCTTTCTTGTTCCTTCCTTCCTTTCTCCCTCCTTCCTCCCTTATTTCCCTTCCCATTTGAACACTTTCTTCCCATTTCCTAATATCCATTATACATCTCAGACCTTAGTTCCACATTCAGTTTCTCACACCAGAGAAACAATGCAGTTTTTAAACATATGTGTCTGATTTATTTTATTTCACTTAAGAGTATGGTCTCAAGTTCTATCCATTTTAGCAAAAAATGTCTGAAGCTCATCCTTCTTTATGGCAGAGTAGTATTCCACTGCATTTAAAAAAAAATACACATCTTCTATATCCACTCATCAGTTGAAGGACATTTGGGCTGGTTCCAAGATTTATCTATTACAAACTGTGTTGCTATAAACATGGGTGCCCACATATAGCTGTGATGTGATGCTTGTAATTCTTTTGGGAAGATAACAAGAAGAGGTATGGCTGGGTCAAATGGAACCTCTAGTTTCAGTTTTTTGAGAAACCTTCACACTGATTTCCACAGTGGTTGCACTATCCCCACAGCCCCTCCAGCATTTGTTATTGGTTGATTTCTTGATAGCAGCCATTCTTTCTGGAGTGAGATGGAATCTCATAGAATTGTTTTCATTTGCATCTCTCAAATGACCTATACTGAATATTTTTATTTTTGATACTTATACAACTGAATAATAGAGAGTATTCTATACAACAACCAAAAACAGTATTGTTATTCAAAATCAGTAGTAATACATTATTCATGTCATAGTTTTCCCAAATATTAAAGTATCTCTAAGTGCTATCATTATGTGAAGAACTAACAATTACAAAAAGAGCCTACCTAGTCTCATTTCAAGAACCACTTCATCATTTTAAGTTTAAAAGGTAGAGAATTCTGCCTTCTCTATCCTCACTCGATCCAATGTAACAAATCGGTAAGAGACAAGAACCTATACAGTGGATCCCTTTCCTCTAATGATTTAGTACAACTAGATTGTCGAAGGAAACACATTAAAAACTGGAAATATATCTTTTAAAATGTGTATTTATTACTTTACAGCAATATAAAAGCTGAAGAATTTAGTTTTAAAAAGCAAATAAATCTCTACTGGTAATCCATATATTAAAGGAATGTGGTCTATATTTGTGACTGGAATTTTACAGCATTATAATAAGAAATACATTATAATCTGAAGTTTAATCAATTATACCATTCAGAAATTTTTAAAAATAAAAGTTTAAGTTTTCATTTTCCTTTCTTAGAAGTTAAGAAATAAAGATATGTTAATCTTTCTAGAATATCACATCAGGCTTATACATATGCTACATTTTCATTAGCACTATTATCTCAAAATCTACTTAGAAAGCATGCAAAGGTTTCCAAATTTTAAACTAGGAATATAGGATACTACTTCAGTCTAGAGAATTCTCTGATAAAGTAAACATGCAAAGTGGTTACACACCAGAACACTTGTTACCTGCACTGTAATCATCATCATCACTACAGATATGACACTATGAGAGGTCCTTGTCAGCTGATGGGAAACATCTTGAAAGACCAAAAGGTTCAAGAAGCAGGATTTTCCCAACAGAATGAGAATACAGTATATAGAGTCCTTGCTCTTAGTTCAAATTCCCTACACACTGAACAAAATATTTAAAATATTTCACAATTCCTTAGAAATAAAGATAAAAGCTAGGCAAATGGATAATGTTCAGCAGTAAAGAGGGAAAATTATATAATCAATATTCCTAATCTTTCCTATTATACATAAGGTTAAAAAGTAAAGATAATGAAAAATGTTAAGAAAAAAACATATAAAGGAAAGGAACAAAAGCCAAGAGAACCACCACTGGCACAGAGGCAAAAGCAAAATCAAAACACTGCTTCACAAAGAAGGTAAGGAGTTCAAGAGAAATAATCAAGGGAACACTTCCTAGAAAGTAGGAATTTTATTGGAAAATACCCACCAAAAATTTTTTAAATGATAAACTGATCATTTTGAGGCTTCTCACTAAAAACTTTTATCAATTAATTGAATCAAAAGAAAACACGCATCAGAAATTTTTATTTAAGCAGCAGGAGAATATATAGTCTAAGAAAACTTGAAAATAAGCCTACAAGTTTTAAAATGTAACTGCTGCAAACAAGAACCAAGACATATCACGTAAAGGTACAAGATCCCAATGATAAATGTAACTATTGTTTGCTTTAAATGTACCAATAAACTTAATGGGGGTGGTAACTGCTGCTAATATAACCTGCCTGAAAACAGTCACCATAAACCAGAGAAGTTTTATTTCCCCATAGATAGATAGATATGAATTTTCTTCTGCATTTTGATAAATTATGTACAATTACTTTAGAAATGTATTCTACTCTAATGTTATATTAAGTAGAGCGTTAAATAAACCAGTTCTTTCTCTTTAAGTGTGTGGATATGTGTGCGTTTTATGTCATTTTTTCTCTTGTGGATATTTCTAAAATAATGAGATAACCATTAAGATTGTACTTCATCAACCTGTATTTGCTAACATTTTTTACCTCAAACAATTCTAGCTGTCCTTTAAATAATTGCTAAGTAACCTCTTATAAATTCTCCTGCAGAGATAAAACACAATAAACAACTTTCTAAAAGTAATGGAAAAATGACTAAAATAGTTTGATTCTGAAGGGAATCAATACTTAGAAGAAATGGCACTATATTATTGTTTGTTCCATTTAATTGTAATTACTGATATGGTTGGATATAGATTTACTGTATTATTCCTTTGTTTCTCCTTGTCCTTTTTTGTTCCTCTGTTCTTTTTTCTTGCATTCTTTTAACTTAACTGAGCAATTTTTTAAATTCTTCAATAGACTGGGATGAAGTTTAGTTGGTGGAGTGCTCGTCTAGCATGTGAAAGGCCCAGGATTCAACCCCCAGCACTTTTAAAAAGAAAGAAAAAGAAGAGCTCCATCCAACATAATTGAATTTTTTACTAGCAAACAAGCATGTGCATGCATACACATACTCCTACCACAGAGGGTTTCAATTTATCAAGACACTGAAAGAAGAAAAAAAAATTCATCTTACACAAAGTTCTCCCCAAAAAACAGAAGATTTAAAAAAAAATAGTTTCCATATTATTTTTAGGGCAAAATAATACTAATAGCAAAGCCCAAGCAAGAAACTACAAAAGAAAATTGCTGAATAATATCCTTCATGAACACAGCACAGAAATCCTTAACTGAAACGTAACTGTTCTGCTTTCCTCAAGTGTTTATTCATAACAGTGGCAAAAATAACATTCAAACTTCCTCACATTTTTCCCTTCCTTAGGTAATTTTCACTGTTTGAAGAAGTCGCACTTGATAGGATTCCATTTTAAGAAATACCTAAGATAGGAAAATTATCTACAATAATCTATGAGAAAATATTTATACATAAGATTCCTTTCCCAAAGCCGGGCGTGGTGGTGCACGCCTGTAATCCCAGCACTCTGGAGGTTGAGGCAGGAAGATCGCTGGGAGTTCAAAACCAACCTGGGCTACATAGTAAGTTCCAGGTCAGACTCAACTACATAGTGAGACCCTGTCTCAAAACACCAAAAAAAAAAAAAAAAAAAAGATTCCTTTCCTTTAGGGTTCATGTTTTAAAATCTTTCTTGGCAAGTAAACAAGACAGTTACTGCAAACTGTCAACTTACATTATATAAAATCAAATCAAATTTGAAATGAAACTATTTCTTCACCTATTCCTGAAAATTTAAATATATTCAGTTATTATAATACATAGATGATGTTTTTCTCATACAAAATATTCTGGATTTTCACTACAAATTCTGAAAGCACAAGAAAAATGCATTGAATTTTTAAATATAAGAGATATTACACTTACATCGTATTTTGCTGCAGCAATCCAGAAATACTAGAGAAAACAATTTAAGATATGTAAAGCAATTTTTATTAAATGAAATTCATTGCTTAAAATGTACAAAGAAGGAAGTATTCTCTTGAGTTTTCTAATAGCTAAAGCAACCAGAAAAGTACTTGTAAAATACTGTTACTCCCTACATAAAGCAATACTGAATTTCCAAAAAGAATATTTCTTTGATGATTCAGTTATCATAGTATATTTAAATCATATTTTGAAGTTTTATTATTTATTTAGGAGATATAAAACTGAGGGGCAATGTCACATTAAAAAATCAAGGGAGTTAAAAGAGAAATATTAATTTTTTCCTTTTATTTCAGGAATGAAAGTATATTTAACTCACCAATTCTTTAATATTATACTTATAAACAGAAGTATAAAATTTAAGCTTTACACTGCATTCACTTAAAGAAAAGGGAAAATTAGGAACAGAAGGACAAAGGGTAGAA